GGGGAATTCTGGGAGTTGAAGTCCACCCATCTTAAACTTGCCAAGGTTGAGAAACACTGATTTAAATCAAAGACGAGGAAGAGTGCTGCTGTAGAATAATGTGTAAATCTAATAGTTACAAGGTGTCCTGAACATCAAAGTATGAAGCAAGCCAAGTTGTTCTCCATGCAAGAATAATTGCATGGGGGATTAGAGGATGTCAGCAGGGGCATTCCTGAGCCCACCCTTTTGTGGTCTTGGAAATTGAAGGGAGACATGCCTGGTTAGGCCTTGGATGGGAGGCCACCAGGAAATCCCACAGGCATCAGCAAGGCTGAGAACATGAAAAAACGCCCGTTGCCCAGGAATGGCACATGGGTGCGTCCATGAAGTGACCTTAATTAGTCAGCATGGCACTTTCGGTATGCCATGCTCCAAATCCGATCTGAACCAGATGGTTGCAGCTTAAAAGCTAACCACTCAAGGATACGATAGACCTGCTTTCCTCCAATGAGTACTTTTGGGATCTGCTTGACTATAGCTCCCATGCCCCCAGTCCACAGGATGGGAGTTGTAGTCTGCCCACTGGGGAAAAGGAACTGAACTCTTTCTTCTCCTTCTCCTTCTCCTCCTTCTCCTTCTCCTTCTCCTTCCGCTTCTCTCCAGCTTTCAATGTCACCATCCGGAGCGACCATCAGGGCACCTGCCGTGGTGCCCGTGTAATCCAGGCCTGTGTGGGCTACTGTGAGTCGAGCGCCTTTCCCTCCAAGTATTCGGTCCTCCTGGCCAGCAGTTTCAGGCACAACATCACTTCGGTCTCCCAGTGTTGCACCATCAGCAAAATGCAAAAGGTGGGGGATGCAAACGGACCTTCCCCAACTCCTTCCTCACCAGAAACAGAATAAAATCATATTCTGGAATTCTGGCTGCTTACACATTCATTTATTTAGACACCGATAAGGCTGCCCAGCTCTTAGTCAGTGTTTCTCAACCTCCTCAACTTTAAGATGTGTGGACTTTATCGCCCAGAATTCTGGGAGTTGAAGTCCACGCATCTTCAAGCATGGCTGGCTAGGGAATTCTGGGAGTTGAAGTTCATGCAGTTTAAAGTTGCCAAGGTTGAGAAACACTGAATTTGCGGGCACCAGCTTGACTTTTTAGACCTCTGATGTTGGACTCGATAGTCTCACTGGATCTTTCCTAGGATTCTGTGTTCTGTAATGACTGCTAGGTTAAGGCAGGAGGGTTAGAAATGGGACAGGTGTGTCTTCTGACATGTGAAAATTCCAGGTTGAAACTAGTTCAGTGTTGTCCAAACTTGGCCACTTTAAGATGAGTGGACTTCAACTCCCAGAATTCCCCAGCCAGCCATGAGTTGAAGTCTACTCATCTTAAAGTGGCCAAGTTTGGACAACACTGAACTAGGTGGAAGAACCAAGCAGTGAGAAAGAGAGTTTTGTTCCTAAAACTTTAAGAGAGGTGTTGGCTACCAGAGCATGCAAATCTATGCTGAGTAAGACTGTTCACACAACATGCTTATCTTGGTTCCTGAATTAGCCTGTTTTCTGGCTCTGTCCATGGGTTGAATTGGCAGCTGGGGGGGGAGGTCATGCTATTTGCCAAGTCACAAAAAAACTAACCAAGCTTAGCAAGTGATCTGAATGCAGTCACAGCAGTTATAACTAACCAAGTTAACACACATTGTGCAAAAGCAGCCAGATCATGGCCTGATCTACAATGGTCCGCTACGTTCCAGGAATGAGCAGACTGACATTCTCACGATGCACTAACCATGTTAATTGTGTGTTTTGGCACATTGGACTCCTCATGCCCATAAATATTGAAACTTTAGGTTTGGGGGTTGAATTTTGACTATTTATTGTTTTAACCCAATTACAGAACTGGGGAGTTGTATGTCCTCAGAGCAGGTGGATTGGAGTGGCCTATAAGCCTTGCAAGAAAGAAAGAAAATAAATGCATAAATCACCCCCCACTATCACCAACCCAAACCTGCCTAGCCCATTCCAGATTAGATCATCATCATAATTTTTCTCTCTCTTTTTTTGGATAATTTTTAAATGGTGTTAAAACCCAAGGCAGAGCTCACCTTACAACTTCAGTGCATTTCCTGCCTTAAAATAGCAAGAACTCTCGCTACCGAAATGTCAGAATTTGGAAGCATGGCCAGAGAGGGCTCTAGGGGTCACCAAAAATTAGATTTGAAGCCCCAGATAGCTGGCTTGCTTTACTTGTTGGAGACAGTGTAATTCGGTGGCATTTCCACTCTGTCTTTTAAATCCTAGATTAAAATTTTTCTCCCTGGGCCTTTTAAATTTCAGCCATTCATTTAGATTTGATTGGGGCCTGCTGTTGTTATGACTCCCACTACTGCTTTCATTCCTTTGGTTTAAAGAGGGAGCTGTTGACTTAAAAAAAATTTATTTATTTTTTTTTTAACGCTGGAGAGGAAGGCAGTGGATCTGCAGTGTAAGTTCTGGAAACTAAAAGAAAAAGCAGAAACTTAGGTGCTCTGATGGGGGTGTATAAAGCTGCAGCTTGGAGACACCAACTGAAGACTTTCACTGAATCCATAAAATTAGTAAATGCGCTGATGCTATTTACGATCTATATTTTGCATGGTTTTGCAGTGCTGAACTGAAAAAAAGAGCCCATCACTGCTATCAAACAGCTGTTTTTGCTTTCTTCTTTACAGGTGAAACTTCGGCTGCGTTGTGGTCTCGGCCCACACAAAACTGTGGACATTTTCACCGCCAAGACCTGCCAGTGTGACATGTGCCGGCTCTCCAGATACTGAAGCTCCCCAGAAAGCGAACTTGAAGACCCTCCGTTGATTTCTGCAGGCACCAGCAAAGTGGATCCTCTGGGGGCTGTACCTGCTGACGTGCTCGGGCTCAGCAGTTTGCTTGTTTTAAAAAATATGCTTTTAATCCTATAAGAAATTACAAGGGAATTACAGGCAGTTCTCGATTTACAACCATTTGTTTAGCAACCGTTCGTAGTTACAATGGCGCTGAAAAAAGCTACTTACGACCGGTCCTGTCACTTATGAGCATCACAGCGTCCCTGCAGTCATATGATCCAAACTCGGGTGCTTGACAACCAGCGTGTATTTACGACGGTTGCAGCATCCCGGAGCCATGCGATCCCCTTTTGCAACCTTCCCAGCTGGCTTCCGACAAGCAAAGTCAATGGGGGAAGCTGGATTCGCTTAACGACTGCAGCAAAAAAGGTCATAAAATTGGGCGCAACTCCCTTAACGATGCATTGCTTAGCGACAGAAGTTCCAGTCCCAATTGTGATCGTAAGTCAAGGACTACCTGTACTGGGTACGGGGTAAGCAATGGAATGCTTTGAGTGCTTTTGATAACTTGGCTGCTGAATACATTATGTTTTTTAAAAGAGTTTCATATGTTTTGTCTTTGGTGTTTTGTTGATTTTTTTTAATGGTCGTGAGCTGCCCAGAGCCACATAGGTGAGATGTTGGCTATGAGGGAGGGAGGGAAGGAGCTCCAGTGTCTTTTCTTTATTTTTCCAGAAAATAAATGGGCTCCCGAGCCATGATTCTAAGAAATTAAAAATGAGGGTGCCCACCTCCTGAAACAAGGGGAATTGTAAGCTTGGGGTGCTTGCAAACCGAAAACAGGATCTTTCTGCTCAACGGTTGTTACGACTGGCTGGGGAGCCATCCTGCGACTGCGCCCATGCGCTCTCTGAAGTCTGAACGGCCCTGCTGACCCCAAATCTTTGCTTGGCCTCCACTTCTCCACTCAATTCTTTTTGAGAATTGGCCGTCTTGAAGGCATGTCGGATCAGCTGGATCGACTGCAGCAAAGACATTTCTCTTCCAGT